TCTAATTTGAATAAACTTTATATACAACAAAGTAAACTTTACATGAAACAAATATAAAAAGTTTTTTAATTTTTTTGTAGTTTTGTACCAAAAATAAAGTGATGGTTTTAGTACCATTTTAATATGCAATGGATTATCAAAATTAAAACAACAAAAACAACATAATATTTTCAGGAAATTATTATCTTTTATTATTATTATCTTGGAAAAAAGCTAGCAGAAAATAGTTTGTTGGGAACCATCCTCAATCTTTACCTTGGTAAGATAAGCATCTTTATTTAAAATGTTTCAAGTCTTACTACTTCTCCTTTTGTTATAATGGGAAAAAATCATACCGGGATGTATGCTAAAATTTATGGATGTGGTGCCCTACCTAGAAAATGCTTCACCAGCTGCCACTGATTTGGAATAAAAATTGGTACACAAAGTGAGAAATATGCATGAGCATCTGTTAGTTCTCAACATTCTATTGTAGACCCACCTATTTCCACTTATGCTTTTATATTGTATTAATCAATGTAATTATAAAGTCTGCACATTTTAAGAATTTGCCATAGAAGGATAATCTTTTCACATTGTTAGAAAAAAGCAAGATTCCATAAGGAATGGATTTTCCAGCTGATGAAGGAGGGGTTGTTTTTAAGAGAAACTGGTAAGCATAACAGCCTCGTATACAGTTTCACATTCTTGTGAACCACTTTTTAAGCATTTTATACCCGTCACATACTCATGTCCAACATACTCATATCCACATTGTCAAAAGATGATCTTTCAGACTTTTGCCGTTCTTGTGGAGAGAAGAATACATGCAAAAGAGAACCTGACCAATGGACCAAAGTATACATTGAGAAAGCTGGAGTAGCTGTTTTCTTGTTTCATGCCATTTTGTAACTTTTCTATGTGCTTGCTTGCTTAGATTGAATGCATGGACTGTGGGCAGACCGTCCACATCTGGAAGACATCGCCCCTGCATGCATGTAAAGACTTTACTTTTGTTTATTTAATGCTTTTGTTTTTGCATACTTTTGAAGAAAGCCTGGTACCGCAGAAACATTAGTTTTCTAATAAATTATTTTCAACCTGTCACAGTGTGCAAAAGCATTAAATAAACAAAAGTAAAGTCTTTACACCCAGAAAATGTGAAAATGGGGTTTGTCTCTAATCGAGTATGTTTCTAAATGTAAAGCGAGGGTACTCTTCTATCAGATATTTGCATCAGTGCATTGTTGCCACCATGCAGACTCCAGTCAACTGTTCGTTACCCAAAAGACTATGTATTTTTTATTTTATGCAACTTTAGAAACAATACACATTATGTATTTGATAAATGTGTTGATCATTTGGTGCAAAATGTGTAAAGGTGTAAAAAAAAGACCCTCTGCACATTTATTTATGGCTATGGTGCTTACAATGAAAAAGCATGGTGAACACTGGCTGTCAAATGCATTTGCTATTTTATTGGTTTATTTAAAACAAAGTAAAAACAACTAAATATAGGAGCAGAAGATAGGCTACCCACACATTGAGGGAGAACTTTAACACTACAAATTTATATTCATTTAAATGTAGAACTTAAATCTAAATCTTGTGGTTAAGTCAAAAAAAACTTCTGAAATTTTAAACATGTGTTTAAGTTTAATTGTCATTTTTTATTGAAGTGAACGTCTCAAGATTACGTGGGCGTGGTTTGTGAACCGTTGCCGAATGCATTAGCACAGGTATTGAGGAGACAGCACAGCTGTATCCACATTTATTAAGAATGTACCAAGTGTATTTTCTTTGCAGCTTCATAGTTCGCATCTGACAAGTCTGGTGGGAAGTAAAGTAAAATAGCTCAAGTTCAAACAGCTCTGAGGACATTTGTTAACATCCGAAGTATTTACATTCTGTATCTTTATGAATAAAATCATTTATTTTATGCCAGGCATCAGGCCAAAAGACCAATGCGACGCTCGTTTAGTGACTCACTCGTTTATGATGCTTTGCATAAAATTGCAATGTTCTTTTTCTATTCTTTTGTTTGTTTTATTTTTATTTAAAAAATGACCCTCTAACATAGCATTATCTATTCTATTTCTATTCTTTTTATTGTTTTATTTGTAATAAAAAATTACCCTCTAACACTATAGCGTTCCCTGTTCTCTTTCAATCTAATTGTTTTTCTTTTTATTTAAAAAAACAAAAAAAACAACACTTGCTCCGTGCACTGCGTTAGACTAACCGAGACCTGTCACACCACTTACATATCATTGCCCTTTTGTTGATTCTGACTGCTTCTATTGTCCTCATTTGTAAGTCGCTTTGTCTCCTAAATGACTAAATGTTGGTTATTGCTATAGGCTATATGTAACCTTCTGTGATTGAACATAAGCCGAGTCATTGCAGATTCGGCCGAGTGCATAAACTATGGTTCATTTGTGGTTACCATGGTTTAACTATAACCATGCATGTTTTTTTTTTGTTTTGTGGTAATGCCGTCTATTCAATCAATGTCTATTGATATTGCGTTCATTAAAAAGCATATGGCCAGGAGGGCAAAAAAAAACAGAGCATGGCAGTATTCTCACTGTGACCATTTGTATCGATAATCTTTCCCTTGGTGTCATCATCACAACCAATATTTTGTGTTTAAAGGCGGTCGCTCACCGGACGTGAAGTTCAGTTCAAGACCGCAATTCAAAACAGCTCATAGCCGAACATGTAAAAGTTCACTTCAAAAATTAATAAAGTGGCCTCGATAAGTTTTGAAGTTCGGTGTTTGGGGAAAAAAACGAGCAAACAGAAAGAGAAAGTGTTATATTATTATATATTATTATATATAGGCTAGACTTCATTCAAGCCACAAAAAGATAAACGCATGTAATACACAATCTTCCAGCCTAGGGGTGACGTTATGTACATTAACAACGATTTGGGACAAATATAATGTTATTTCATGTAAACTATGTGACGACGTGACCTCCTCAGAAACCCGTGGATCCACGCAAACGGGTACCGGAACGCAGACCGGCAGGATCCGGCACAAATTAAGCCCCGGTGGAGGCGGACACAGAGATTGAAGTGGCCCCCCGACGACACTTATTGTTCAATCAATGTTCTCTGAACGTTCAACTGGACACAACACCGGCATAAGCTCACCTGCTCGAGGCGAAACGCTGTCGTGCCGCCCCCGATTCACATTCACAATTAAACACGATGTTTAAAATGCATGTGAAAGACTGGAGATTTTGTTTTTTGATACAGTTGCACTAAAATAAAATCATACACGAGCATTTCACTAGTATTCACAAGTTTTCAGAATTGATTTTTCATACTGTATATATATATATATGCCTATATAGTGTATAGTAGCCTAGGCTATAGGCTACCTGAGCAAATTCTGTATATAGCCTATGATTTAGTAAGTGTATACAACCCCGGAGTGCATGGCCATCGGAAGAAATGAAAATGAATGCTTTATCTAATCACACACGATTCTGTTAATTTTATGAAAGCTATGGCCAATCAGATGAGTGATCGCTGAACCTTCAGTGCACGCGCTCGCTGACTGAATTCTGCTCTTTCGTGAATTCTCTCTCATGATCTCATCATAAACAACAAGGTTTTACAGTGTCGGCAGCCTCAGTGATTATAATGGGAGTGTTGTTTTTGTTTTGTTTTGAGAGTGCTTAAACTCCCGCTAGACTGAAGTCCGCTTACATGCACGTTCTTAAACCGATTATGCTTAATAAACCGATAATGCACTTGGTCATGTAAACGCGGTAACCCGTTTTCTTTTATCGGAGTAAGGTCATAAACGGCGTATAAGCATAAACCGGTCGCAACAGGTAGTTTTTTGCCTCTTACTCCGATTTCGCACGTAGGCTTATTGAAGTGCACATGTGTGATACGTGACAGGAACGCATCGTTAGTGCAGATTTAAGCGCATCTAGACCGAGCAAACGTCTTGCCGTAAAGAAAATAGGAAATATATCACAAAAGCAGACTTTTTCATGACTCGGAAAATGATAAAAATGTGTTCTCTTCTCGTGCAGCAGAAGTAGAAGTGGTTCAGTCACAATGCTGCGTTTATAACTGCATGAGAGGATAATATACGAGCTGTAAGTTTCCCGACATGTTGCAAGCTTAATTTAACATCACAACTGACACATGTGTGGAATGCACTGAGTCAGATACGCAAATGATTATATTTTGACGTCACTACAGGGAAATAGCCTGGTTTATTAATGAAGTCCTGTAAACGCATTGTCAGGCTACTGGTGTGCATGTAAACGGGGAAAACTGGTTATTTTCATAAGCTGATATTTGTGAGTTATCAGCTTACTGGTGTGCATGTAAACGTGCTCAGTGAAATGTTCTTTGTTCTCTTTCTTTGAGATAAAACAATTATAAAATAATTCTACCTAGAGGAAATCCTCTCAACACCAGTCTGAAAGTCACACAAAAACTCATTTGATCACGGAGACGTCTATTTGACTTCTGCATTTACTGCCAGACATACTTTTTAAATTATAATCAAATAAAAATCTTGACCAAGGGCGCAGAGCCAACTAGGCGCAGGTGTAACTATATATATGGGTGCTCCAGAAAGGGAACAAAATGTTCAAAATAATAGGTGGATCCTGTTGCGAGTGTCTGGACGTGGATTTTTTTTATCCACCTATTAATTTGGGTAGTAATTTAGAGTGTTTGCTCATCTGCAATACGTCTATAGGACTTTTCCTATCAGATGTCAAATAAACGAAAAGCATTTTCACTGACAAATTTGCACAATGCAAATGACAAGGTCTTCCTTAAACTGGTTTACAGGGCGAGTTTCGAGAAGGGCGGGGTTATGCGTGCGTCTCTCTCTCTCTCACACACACACACACACACACACACACACACACTCGTTCATGTGTCTCTCTGATGGCGTTGGCGTTTCGCCGGCGGATCTTCAGGCTGCTGATGGTCCTGATTCTCTTGCAGGGTGTGTGTGTGATGTTTTATTACACACGCAACACACACTCGTCCAGGTGAACATTTTCAATATTTTTGAATATTTTATTAATTATCGTGAATTTAAATCAGGCTCAGTGTGTATTTTAAGTCAGACTGTTATAAAGTCAGAGACTGGTTTAAGTTCATAGCTTCTAAGTGATTGGTTGTTCTCTTGTTGCTTATGTTACCACTAATAGTGTGCTTGCTGTCATTAAGTTTTTAAACAGGTAGCCTATATATTGTGGTTTAAATGTCGTCTTTAGGTCGAAATTTAATTGTAATTTTAATCAGGACAGAAATGTTTTAGATTTGCCATGTAGATTTGTACAATATAGATTGATTTGTTCCGGACCACAGCATTTGTCGAGCAAATTAAGGGACTGTCAAAAAAAGTGCATAAAAATAATAAAAAAGATATGAGTTCCAAGATTCGAAAACAGGCAAAACATCATGCAAATAAACTGTAAAGATGTGAATTAAGTGGAAAAACATTCATACATAATTTTAAACTGTGAGTATGAATATAATACAGTGGGTGTGGCAACATGAGGTCGTATGATCAGGAAGTTATATAGATTTGAATATTTGTAAAATACTCACGAAATCATATTTCCAGATCCAGTTTGTGTATGATGTGTGTCAGGACAACAATAACAAAAATCCAGATGTCCTTTCAGTCAAAATGAAGTGCCAAGTCCTTCAACAAAGCCATTGTTCTTATCGCTTTTTAGTTTGTAGAGAACTCACTGAATTCAAAATACATTTTCATTTAAAGTTTGAATCTTCAAACCCATTCAACAGAAACAGACTTTTGATTTAGATGACGAGAGACATTCTTTACGTACAAATATTTTACATAGATCAACTGAGTGACAAGAGATTGGAAAAGAAAGACCTCTAAAAGGCATGAGAACTCCTTGTGGCACTGCATGCATCAGCAAAAGATGCAAACTCTTTATAAAAAAATAATAATAATAAAAATCGTGTATTATATGCTGCATGTATGTATTGTAGGTGATCTGAGCTACAAAATTAAATACATGTATTCCACTAAGACATTCCATTTAATTACATATTTATAACAGATCTATTAATCATATAAAAGTTAAAAATTGTCTTAATCTATTTGCTAACATAAACTACACATGAAAAAAATCACGTTTTTAGTGTTTTTATGGAATAATGCACATATTTAACCAAGTTTATTGTGGATTTTGCTCTTCTGAGACACTCCCTAACTTGACGTGCCCAGGTGGGGATCGTCATGAGGACCTAAAACAATTACATCATCGAATAATAATGTTATTAATTTTGATATTATGCTTTTAAATGTGATCTGCGTGATCCATGACTGTTATGCTGCTGCATAGAAATTAATGCTGAAGAAAAGATCGAATGTCTAACGAATGTCCAACATGAAATTGACTTGACTGGACATTTTGAAGAACATTCGTAACTTAATGGGAACGTCAGCCAAACGTCCCTAGAACATATTTCTGTTAGCTGGATGAATGAGATTCTCATGAGGTTTGATCAGGAAATCAGAGCACTGCTATAATAACCCACTTCTGTTCGAATGCAATGGTGTTTGTTTTTAAATGACACTGGTGATGTGCATTTATAAGAAATATTCAGCAGCAGTCAGGTTTCTGTGCAATGAGTTTAACCTCACCGTTGCAATTTACAAAAGGATGTGTTCCTGAATCAACATTCATATCAAAGGATCAGTTGTGCAACACATTGTTACTTGACTTCCCTGCTGTGCATCCTGTTACTCAAGAAGCGCCACCCAAATCAAGTCAAGAAAAAACCCCGAAGGGATTTACTGTCTTATTCTTGGGGAAAACTCAAAACACAATTTTGGATTAGAACCATTTGACTCGGTTGAAAAGAACCTAACCCTAACCCTAACCCCAACCCTAACCCTAACCCTAACCCTACAGGCACAGCTAGAAATCATATAGTTCACCTTCAGTTGCTCGTCCCCTTTGACTTGTATAGTATTTTTTTTTCCCATGCTATGGAAGTCAATGGGGACCAGCAACTGAAGGTGAGCTATCCCTGTAAAGCCTGACATATGAGTAACATGTTTTGCAGAGTGCAATTGTACACACATTTTGTTCATTTCTTAAAACTTCACCAATGATATGTGCATTTATTCATCATTCATGAATTTATTGGGTGCAATATTCCACCCAGTATTTTTTTCCTTCATAATTTGCTGGTCAATTATATTTCAATAGACAGTATCATCAGTTATCAAGACTTTGTGCTCTGCTTGATTATTAAGGATTAGTCAAATTTGGATTTGCGTATCCATTAGTTACTTCATGTGTTCCAATCAAACACCCTTGAGGTCGGTCCTCATAGAAATGTGTGGCTTCTCTCCAGCTCAGACGATATTTGCAGCAGCCAAACAAAGAGGTGGAAAACCTGCGCCATCTGACATTTCCTTGTGTCTTTTAGCTACGAAGTTAGAATCTGGGTTGATGGGTTTTCTTACAATTCTCTTGGTTTATAAGTTTAAACACTCCAACAATTTGAAGAAATTTGTACTTTGTGAACATCCGATTTTTAACCTCTGTGTTGAATATTTTCTAAAAACATTTTCGACCTTCGCCATTATTTATTTAATTCTCACTTCTTGTGCGTTTACACAATCTCTGGTACCTTCATTGTATTATACAATATAACAAACTCTAACACAAAAACCCATGTAGTAATTGTTGCATAAATATCACATCGCAAAACTCTACCTCTGATTCATTATATTACTTTCCATACGTTCATTATTTTCAAAAACAAGCCAGTTATTAAACTTTTGTATCCAGAGGAGTCCTTATGATGTTTTCCAGAATTTCTGAGAACACAAACATAAATTATCCATTCAATATGAATAAATCTAATTATTTCTATATTTTACTTATTTGCTTACAAATGTCCATCCTTTAAGTCTTTTTGTACTTTAAATTCACAAATTCATCTTATTTCATACTCTTTACAAGAGTTCCTTCTTTTACCATTACATATATTTTAATTTCCTTAATATAGCTACTATAAATTCAAAGTCTACCAAAGCCCATAATCTCTTTTATTCATGTGTCTTCCACATACTTCTTATCAGTAATGTTTTACTATAAATTATCTTTGCCTTGTTAAACAATGCTAATTAAATATAATGGATCTCGTTGCCAAATTCAGCCACTGCTTCGGTGCAGTTAGGTGCATCAGTCATTTAAGCAGCATGACCTGTTATTCCAGCCTGGCCTCATTGTTTAAATGGAGGTATTATTATGTAACACTTACAAGCACAACACTTACATTTTTATCAAGTCAAGTCACCTTTATACAATACTGGTTGTGCCAAAGCAGTTTTACAGAGTCAAATAGTTTGTCAATGATGCAAGAAGACAATGACAGAGTATTTTTCCAGTTAAAGTCAGTTCATTGATGAGTCAGTGATGTTGATCATCCTGTTCAGTTCTCTTCAATAGTATCTGTGCAATCAGTCAACGATATCGCTGGATATTAAGTGTCCCCAACTAAGCAAGCCAGAGGAACCAAAACTCCATCGGTGACAGAATTGAGAAAAAACCTTGGGAGAAACCAGGCTCAGTCGGGGGCCAGTTCTCCTCTGACCAGACGAAACCAGCAGTTCAGTTCCAGGCTGCAGCAAAGTCAGATTGTGCAGAGGACTCAACTGGTTCCTGTGATATTGTCCCGGTGGTCGTCTGAGACAAGGTCTTTACTGGGGATCTGTCTCTCCTGGTTCTAGTAAGAACTCTAGCTGCTGCATTTTGGACCAGCTGGAGTTTGTTTATTAAGCGTGCAGAACAACCACCCAATAAAGCATTACAATAATCTAACCTTGAGGTCATGAACGCATGAATTAACATTTCTTAATTAGTATTTGACATTGAGAGAATAGGTCGTAATTTATTTGGACGTATTACAACGTTTAAAACTTTAAAATTGCTACGTATTTTAGCTAAAAAAACGTACAAAATGTCTTATATCATTAAGATATTTGTATCAGTGTGTTTTTATAATTTTATTGATAAGCAATTTAGATCTTTAGACCTCGGAACCTACCCCCAAACCTAAACCCACCGCAAATATAAAACGTAATAAACCGAAATACCATTTTAGTAACAATACAGCATTAAAAATATATTTTTATAGTCGCTAATCCCACTCCTACCTCTAAACTTAACCATAACTATCTCTTTTTTTTTTTTTTTAAAAGTACAGTATAAAGAAAAACATGACAGACAGATAAGTGCAATCACAATAATTTATTTATTGCAAAAATATCAAGCAAAAGTAATCCAAATGACGATGCGTTGCAGTCCTCTCTGGCGGAATACAGTAGTTTTGTGTGAGGAACAGAGCACGGAGAATTTAAGTTGTTAATCGCGGAAAATATTATCCAGATTATCCCGACTTCTCATTCAAACACACCTCACCAGAAACACGGCATGTCGCAATCTGTGACGCAGCAGGCGAGAGCCAATGAACGTTCGATTTCCCTGCCGTAAAGTTTCTTGAAGCGGCAATTTTTGAATTTGTAACGAGCGCGGTTATCGCTGCTTACGGTCGCAGGAAGTACAGTTGAAATACAGTTGCCAGTAGCTACTGAGTTTCCTACTGAAAGGCCGGCGGTGCATCTGTATACACACTCTCCCTGTATACCCTCACTTTCCTCACGCAGTGCATGACTGAAGAACCAGTCGTAAATTCCCAATACAGTTCCAATAACTTAGGACAGTAAAGATACTTTTCTATTGACTCTGTAAAACACAAGAAGAAAGATTTTAGTTCCTGATTACCTGTGTAAACATGCCATAGTCCTGCTGTAGATGTGGCCAAAGCAATAAACTGCAATGTCCGTAATGTAAGGAGGCCTAAGAAGTTACTACAGGAAGGACAAGAGGATCATCCTTGTAATGCCAGAACATTCCCAGAACTTGCAAGTGCTTTAGTGGGGCAACATCTCACAGCAAGAACTGGCAAATCCGGTGCAGTCCACGAGGATGAGATGCACTGTAGTATTTAAAGCAGCTGCTGGACACACAAGATAAGCCCCTTTCGCATCGGAGGAACCTTTTCATAGTTCCTAGAACTATTGGCGGAAGTACCCGGATGCTCGCGCGTTTGCACTGCAAGAACTAGGAGCGATTTTAATTCTAGGAACTCCTTTTACGAGAACTAAATTAGCTCCTACTTCAGAGTAGGGTCTAATGCTGCCTTCACGTGCTATCGGAATTATCGTAAATACGAGTTTCCTAATCGTAAATTAGACGTGAACGCCTCTCAAGTCGTATTTACTACTGGGAAATTCTGAAATAATTTTGATACCAGAGTTTACCGGGTCATAATCTTTAAACATGGTGGAGGGGACAACCATTGCTGCTGTCAATGCTGTTCTCACAACAACTACATCCCTTTGTCTTGTCACTAAAGTAGTGTATTTATAGGCTAGATATGAACGATCATTCGAAGCATATTGTATGTTTTATAAGCAGTGAAATAAGCATGTATTTGACTGAAATTCCAGAACTGTCAGCAAACTGCATGTGTAGCACGGTTAATGTTTATGATAGTCAACCAAAGGGATGCTACATTTTATTCTTTCCAACATTAAAGCACTTGAATACGACAAGCTCGTAATCACGACTTCATAAGTGGGAAATAGGACATTTCCGATAGCACGTGAAGGCAGCATAAACCCGCGCTATAGGAACTACCAGTGACGTAATTGTACGTTAAATTGGCCAAACGCATGTGGGAAAACGCTGGCACCCGCCATTTTTAAAAAGCTGGATAAACACACAACAGTTTATTATTCACGGAGCAGTTTACAGTAGGCTACACCGACTCCATTATCACGAAACCCAGTATATACATCAAAAACACAGCTCCGATCACGGTGTCCTCCATCCTTTTGTTGTTTACGTTGTTGAATGCTGCGCTTAAATGACGTTTCTGTCCACCGGCTTACATCACTTCTGAGTTCCTCTTGGTGGTGCGAATGAAACCAGGAAAACGGCCCGGGGGAACCTAAAGTTCCTGTGGAACTACATGACTGGCTAGTTCCTATAACTTAGTTCCTAGAACTCTGCGGTGCGAAAGGGGCTATACTAACTGCTACTTTTGAGACTGACCCTGTTTGTTCAGGGACTCAATTCATTTCTGTACATCCAACATTTAAAAAGAAAACAACGGTTTTTGTCTTGTTGAATCTTGTCCATACCAATATTTACACCTTAAGAAATTTGCTGGACAAAAAAGGGTAACACTTTATTTTGATAGTCCACTTTAGGCAGTTTACTAACAGTAAGTAACTTTGCAACTACGTGTCAACTAGCAGTCATTAGAGTATTAGTAGACTGTCTGCTTAATATCTGCCAACACTTTATTTTGATGGGTCCACAACATACAACATACTGACTATGAGAAACTTTGCAAGTATATGTTAACCTATTCTACTAACCCTAAACCTAACCTAACAGTCTACTCTGAGGGTTAGTAGACATGTAGTTGCAAATTAATGAGAATTAGATGACATGTAGTTGCAAAGTTACTTATAGTTAGTAGAATGTCTAAAGTGGACTATCAAAATAAAGTGTAAGCCAAAAAAGTAGTTAAAAGTTAGAGGATGTTTCTTTTTAAATTCTTTTTAAGACTTTTTTTTAATGTAGAACCTTGTTAATTGTATTAAACATTTGGTACAGCCATGTTACTGTACTTGTGTTGTCATGGATGTAATAATTTGTCCATTACTTGAATGTCAAGATTAATGCAGTGACGTTACTTAAAAGGGAATTTACAACTGGTTTTTCAGTCATCCACTGCGTGAGGAAAGTGAGTCGCCCGCTGAGGAAATGTTATTCATTTTAAGGGTTTAAAGTGTAGTCTTGTTTAACATTGTGTGTTCTTTGAAACGAGTTGGCAGCAGAAATCACACAGAACAGAACGAAATGTTATTTCACATTAAGTAAATGAGTAAACTTCATTTACTAATGCAATTGAAAACATAATTCCATTGATTTGACAACTGAATACAATATAATAAAATGTTAATGCTGCGATTTCAGTACTCATAAGGATTCATTGGTAGTTGTTCAATTATATTATGTTATAGTAAATATGTCTTTTTTTACGTTAACAGTAGTTTTGGCTGCTTTCTTCACTCTTCTACTAATTTATTGTCCAATTTCTCTGCTACGGTTTATTCAGTCTTTACAGTTTCTACCGTGGCCAGGAATCGACCAATCAATGCCCCGCGTTGGGCGCCATGTTTACGGGTGTGTACTTTGATCTTAACACCTTTAACTTTATTATTTATTATTCTCAGGTTAGGTAAAGTAAGTCAAGTCTGGCCTACATTATAAGCTTTTCAGATTGCTTTCAACTTGGTCAGAAGACTCCTTTGGGGTTTGTTCTTACTCAGAGTTTTAAAACACTATACATCAAAACCTTGGTAGGCAGTTTTTGTAATCATTTAAATTTCTTTAAATTGGTCGTTTCTTTTTATAATAAACAAAATATAAAGGCAAATAATTCTCAACCACTTAAGTATAAAATACAATGATCAGCGTTTCCCTGTGCTGACGGTATAAGTATGCAAATCAGCAATCAACTCATCAGTTTCTAATACTCAAGTCATCTTCTTGACATAAGTTGGCATTTTCCCAAAATTTCATGTGTTTTTGTTTTGTATCGTATCTGATAAATCAGGCTTTTACGGCTCATATAATCTAATACAGTGAGGATATGGAGGAAAAACAGCTCAGCTTTATTCAGAGACTCAGAGCTAAAAATATGAATTTGCTGCAGATGCTGATATTTCTATGATGAGATACTGATGCTTGTGCTGTAAATCAGTGAGATCTTTCTAACAGTGCAGCAGATACTGAAAATGATCTAAATATCAGTGGTCGCTCTATATCTCCAGTAACATTATTACATTATGTAAAGGAAGAGTTCACTTTTAATTGTATGGAAAAGAGCAGCTCGGATATTCTGCTAAATGTTTATTTCATATATATTATATATTCGTTTTTATATCTCCAATAACATGTCCTTAGTAAGATGAGATTGAAATGCTCCAAACATATAATGCAGTGATTGAGAGCTGAAGAAATAAAGGCTCCTCCTCAGAAGATGTGGGATGTTCTGGAGGCTTGTGAAGATCATTCCTCCGCTGAGGAACAGTGAAAGTAAAGCTTCTGGAAACAAACGCTCCTCAAAAGATCCTGAGGATCAGATTAGAAGCTCTAAAACATGATTGATGGAGAATCAAGTAAAGCTGAGCTGCTTCAGTCCAGTAAGTGTTCATCTGGAGATATTACTGCAGTTATTCTGACGCTTACTTGATCAAAACCAGTCAAGATCTGACATGAGAAGCTCCAGCTACAGTTACACTAAAAGAGCTCTGACTGGATTAACGACTCTAAACAGAAGGCATGCAGTATAGATTGAGCGTGACAGCAGATTATGTCGATCATTTAGTGCCTTAGAAATTCAATCAAATGGAAATATGATACAGTAGCTTTGAAAACGTTGTTCTTTCTTTCAGAGATGGGATGACGGACGCTCTTCGGCAGATGCACTGCGCTAAACTCAGACGCAAGTTTTCCATTATCAAACCGGCCAAAAGGTGCGTGAGAATCAAAGATGAAGCAGCGACGTTTCCGTTTCAGAGCACTGATAACATAATTCAATGTCCTTGTTTCCTTCTCAGTGTAAATCTGCAGAGCTTCACGCGGGGGCTATCAGATTTCATGAGCTGCCCGTACAGATCAAACACAACCGAGCGAGAGGTGAACAGGTTTGTGCCTCTTTTTTGCCTTTGGCAGATGCTTTTGTCCAAATTTATGAAGTTGTTGTGAGTGATGAAAGTTGAACCACAGGAACAATTTGATGCCTCACATTCCTTTGTTAATGTCATAGCATGACCTTTAAAGGTAAAAAAAAATTCCAGGACGAACGAGGCAAGACAGAACCTACAAAAGAAAAATACACAACGTAATTAACAGTGGTGTATGCAAGTGAGACAAACAACCAGTCAGAATCCTAAAACAATCACTACTAACCCAGTTTCTTTGAGGCCTAATCCCTAATCTCCGACATCCACACAACAAAAGAACAAGAATATTACATCGAAAGTAAACGGTAACCGTGCAAAACACAGTCTATTACCACAAAGAAATTTACAATATGAAAACACATCAATAAAATAAAACAAACTCACTATAAATACTACACATCATTTAAAAACATAAGCAGCCTTAATACTAAACACAATGCCTCTAACATCTGTTATTTTTCGACTGTGACGCTCAGTAACAGGCAATAATCCAGCCACAGCGCTAAAAACAGAAGAGAATAACATCATTAAAACATGCTCAGAACTACATTAAATCACAAAACGGTGCATCATATGCTCAGTTCTCGACGAAGCTCCAGCAGTATTTATTTCATATTTTAAGATCGAGTTTGATATTGTAGACAGAAATATTCAGATCTTCTCAAATGATGCAGACTATCTTAGATGTTAGATTCATGAAACCCTGACATAATCCTGATCCTACACAATATTCCCTTTATCATTTTTGAGTGTAGTTAGTGTAAGATTGTGCACAGAAACCTAAAATGTTTACGATAACTATTGGTACATGGGTTGCGAACACAATTTTTATGTGTACTTTGAATATTTTGACAAATTTGATGCATTCAAGAGAATCATATTCTAAAATCTTAGTAACGCATTTTACTTTATTTAACGCATCCATGACGCATAACACTGCAGACGTTTCCTTACAATCAGCATGTGCGGCTTTATCATTTCTGTGTGTTTATATCTGATTAGATTCATGAGATGAATGTGGCAGCTTTTCAAAAAAACCATTATTGTTCAGAGTCAGTGTGTTTAACGAGACGAGCTGTTAAAAACAGTTCAAACAATAAATCTTTGAATGCTGAGATCATTTTAACAGAGATGACATTTATAAAGCTGCTGAATGCTAATAAACTTTCTGTGTGTGTGTGTGTTTGTGTGTGTGTGTGTGTGTGTGTGTGAATGTGTGTGTGTGTGTGTGTTGTGTGTGTGTGTGTGTTTATGGCAGATTGAGGCTGCAGTTTTGCTGTAACGCCACAGGATCATTATTCCTCACCAAACAAAACACAGCCATCAATCAGGCCATCCCATATGAGACAAGCGCAACAAAAACATACAAAATGAACGCAGCCATTCACAGCATGCTGCCTGAGGTGTGTTATTAATACATGTTTCTAACTCTTTAAGCTATCTCTTTGTTTAAATGTTTATGCTCTTATTCAGAGTTGTCCTCTGAATGTGACACAACCTATCAAACTATTCAAGCCCTATAAGGTGTGTAGATTACACATCCTCTTTCTCACGGACATGAAATCCCGGCCAGCATTTCTGAATTGCCTAAACGACTGAAAAGTAGTTTGACTAACAGCATGCAGGCATTGTATATAATCAACCACGCGTGGCGTGCGAGAAGGCGGGATCTACAGAGAACAGTCAAAGCAATGCAAATATGTGTAGGTATGATGTACGAGGACTCACACACCAAACATGCTGTACTTATTAACATGTTTCGTTTTGTTTTTAAATAAACTGCTTCCAAATTTTTGTTTTCATTCATTTCTATATACCACAGACATTGGTAACTACATAAGAACGTTTGCGGTGTGATTGTGTGCAGTTTACGCTCTACAACAAAACGTCTTAATATTGTGAAGTTTTGTTCATCACAGACCTTATTTTACACATGAGTTGAAAAACCCATAAAAATACGTAGGAAAATTTTGAGGGAACTCATGGTGAAGTAGTCTTCTGGGTTTGACGTGACCTCTGCGGCACTCTTTTGGAACACAAAGCCAAAACCCAGACAAAACCCGAATACTGGGGCAATATAGAAACTCTGGACAGGTTACATTCGGGAAAAAGAGGATGTGTGTTCACCTTATCAAATGAAATCACCTTATCAAAAAATCCTTGGTCTTATCTGTGTGTGTGTGTGTGTGTGTGTGTGTGTGCATGTGTGTGTTTGTGTGTGTTTATTTGTGTGTGTGTGTGTGTGTGAGTGTTCGTGTGCGTGTTTGTGTGTGT